GCTTACCATCCCCCTGCTTCCAGAGCTCTGAAGGGACTTTAATGGACAGCTCTCCATTTCCAGCGTCCGGGTCCACAGCACTGACTGCTGCAGCATAGGCGCTGGAGAAATAGTTCAGGTTCCGCCTGCAACAAACACGTACAAAGAGAAATGAATGTACTGGATCCTGAATGCAGGAACATAAACATTAGTCATATTACAAATATTACATTGACTAGAATCATTCCTGACCAACACACTGCTAGAGTAGCTGCAAAAGCTAATATGTAAGACTGCAAGTGCAAGATGATAAACAAATAACTGTAAGATGTGGCTATGGAAGTTTGTAGATTCATTACTCACTGCTTGGACTCATGGTGGCAGACCTCCAGTGTGGGATCATTGTAAATGAAAGGTGCCTCCAAGTCATTCACTCGAACTCTGTAAATCCTGCACTGCTTGCTGTTGAGTTTGATGCGGTTAAGGTTCACCACAGTGGGAAAGATGGTGAGCTCCACAAAACCCTGGTCCAAACAAACATAACAGCATGTATTAACTAAAGACAGTGCTTTCCATTACCACAACACAAACATTACACTGAGAGTCAGCCTGGGAAACAATACTCACCTAAAAATGTGACAGTTTTGTCATAAATATGTAACAACATTATTTTGAAGAAAAGTATTTTAGTTACCAGGCACTGTTAAAACATTCAGTCTACACTACCCATGCACTTTATTAGACCTTCATGGTAGTGTACAGTGAGACTGTAGTCCATCTGTTGATACACGACGACACCATCCTCTACACTAGTGGTCACCAACCCTCCTCCTAGAGATATATACATCGTCGCCATCCAAAGAAAACCATGTATCTCCATTTTTATTTTTCTGCATCATTTTAACACAAACGCTATCCTTTACATTGTGTTAAAATGTTTTATGATGAATGGACCAATAAAAATGCTCCAAAATCACTTGGAATAAAATCTCTTTACATTAACATAAGAGGGTTTTTGCCTTCTCTTTTAAAGTTACTATTTTGGAGTTACTTGTTTTCTTTGGACAGCGACGATATGTATATATACTTTCTGCAGAGACTAACTGAACATGCTGTGACCCACCCACGCAGCCCTTACCTAACACTAATGCACCTAATCCAGCCAATCATGGACTTCTATAGAACTTTATTATCTGGAGCAGGAGTGACAGACTGTGGTCGGAATGAGACTCTGCAGGATGGTAGATCTCCAATACCAGGGTTGGTGACCACTGCTCTAGTGTTTCCCAACTCTGGTCCTGAAGGCACGGTGCCCTGCACATTTTTCCCTGTTTTACTGCAACTCAGCAAGGGGTTGTTAATGAGCGGATTAGTTGGATCAGCTGTGTTAAAGCAGGCAAAACACTAAAATGTGCAGAGCAGTGTGCCTCCAGGACCAGGGCTGGGAAACACCCCTAGACCTTCATCAGTGGTCAGTTTTTGACCACAGAGATTATCTTGGCTGGACAATTATGGGTGGCGGTCCACTCTCAACCTAGCTGTGACACTCCCATATGTAAAAACTCCAGCAACACTGCTGTACACTTATACCAACATCACACACCACGTCAGTGTACCTGCTGTGCTGAGAATGATCCACCACCTAAATAACATCTGGTCAACTGACTAATGACAAACAGGGTAGAAGATGACACAACAACAGATGAGCTACAGTTTCCAAACTGCTGCTTATAAATTCAGTACCCAGTGAGTGTAGAAGTGTTGGCACTCGTACGGGAAACAGTGATTATGAGGAAAAACACTTACAATAACGGACTTCCTCTGAAAGTTGATGTTGTTGATGCAGACCACCTGGTGGGTTGTGTTAGGGAACAGACGACATAGTTAAACACACGACGGTTAACGGTTTTCAAATGTATAAGATATGAAAACAGTGTTATTTTAGCCAGCTCCTTGTTCGAATTTTCCAGTTCCACCTTAAATAGAGCAGCGGTTACATTCTGGCGGCGGAGTCTGCTGCACCATTTAAGATGGAACGGAAAATTCGAAGAAGAAGCTGACTGGAGAACAATAAAGAACAACTCCAGGCTCGGGTTATTTTGATACTTATAGTTTGTAAGGTCGCGGACTCTCGAAGCCTTTGTCTTTCTTTCGGTTCATTGTGGGGACTTTCTGTAGCTGAAGGTTTACGGAGAGAAGTCCAGACAGGAAATGCGACTCCTCACAGAAACAAACCCATTTTAGTGTTTTAGGCCAGAAGACAAACTGCAATGAATTCAAACATGTCTGAGATCCTCAGACTGAGAGCTGAAACTCCTCACACCGTGAACGCAAGACTGCGGTTTGGTGACGGGACTAAAGCCGGATAATTTAAAGTTAAGTGCTAAACTATTTTAGATGTAAAGTGAACTGGTTTAAATGTTAAACGGTTTTTTCTAACTGATTTAAACGACTCATTTCGCCCCGTTTCTCTCCGCTGCTGCGCGGCACATCAGCAACCGGCGCGCCGGATGTTGTGATGCCGGAGAATTTTCTGGGGGAAAAAAACTGCAGCGCCACCAACCGGAGACACAGAATAAAGGCGAGAAATATGACGGCAGCACAACACAGCACACTACGAGGAGGGGTGAAATTAGAAATATAAAGCCACTAAATATCACCCTGTATATTACGCTCTGGTGTGTATATATTGCAAGCGTTTTATAATTAATAAAATTGACAAAATTTATAATTCAGTTTATATGATAACGTTGGTGCTGAAGTCTGTACTTTTTCGATGGGGTAAAAAGCAGCGCCTGGAAGTGCGCATTCATCATTATAAAAGTACCTAAGACTTTTTAAGGGCAGAATACACCGACAGGACACTGTAATGTTTGCAGTTGTCCTGAGAATGTTTAGAAGGAGAACTCAAGCAAAATTAACTAGATGTCAAATGTTATTGTAAATGTTATTATTGAAATGTTATTGTTTCTTGAAAAGTATATGCTCATTTTGAATTGGATGAAGACAAGAATTGGTCTGAAGAGACCAATGCACTTTTGAAAGTGAAATGTTTTCCCATTCTTGTTTAATATAGGATTTCAGCTGCTCAACAGTTCAGGGTCTCCTTTGTCGTATTTTTCATTTTCATAATGTACCAAATGTTTTCACGGTGACAGGTCTGGACTGCAAGCAGGGCAGTTTAGCACCCAGACTCTTTTAATACAGAGCCATGTTGTTGTAATATGTGCAGAATATGGTTTGGCATTGTCTTGCTGAAATAAGCAAGGCCTTCCCTGAAAAAGACGTCATCTGGGTGGCAGCATATGTTGCTCCAAAACCTGTACATATTAGTCAGCGTTAATGGTGCCTTCACAGATGTGTAGGTCACCCATGCCATGTGCACTAAAGCAGCCCCATACCATCACGGATGCTGGCTTTTGAACTGTTAGCTGATAACAAGCCGGATGGTCCCTCTCCTCTTTAGCCCAGAGGATGTGTCATCCATAATTTCCAAAAGGAATTTCAAATTTTGATTTGTTGGACCACAGGACACTGCTCCACTTCTCCTCAGTTCATCTTAAATGAGCTCGGGCCCAGAGAAGACAGCAGCGTTTCCTGATCCTGTTTATATGTGGTTTCTTCTTTGCAGGGTAGAGTTTTAACTTGCATTTTGTGGATACAGCAACAAACTGTTTTCACATATGGTGTTTTCAGGAAGTGTTCCTGAGCCCATGTAGTGATTTCTACTACAGAAAGATACAGAAATTTCTCCATATTCTCTGAATCTTTTTAATGATATTATGTACTTTATATGACCAATTTCTTTGCTATTTTATGTATTTTACATTTTTCGTTATTCTTGAATTTGTCTGTGCAGTCTTTTACAGAATGATGAACCTCTCCCCATCTTTACTTCTGAAAGACTTTTCTCAATTTCAACATTTGACATGTTGTCATTGTTTTAATTAAATATAAGGTGATTTGCACATCACTGCATTGTTTTTATTTACATTTTGCACATCTCCCCATGAGTGTGTGTGTGTGTGTGTGTGTTTATATTAGATACACATACAAACACACACACACACACACACACACACACACACAAATGACATTTCCTGCTTTTTTACAAATTGGCTCTGATGCCTGTCCCTATGAATCTGTTAATCCTGAGATATTGTGCTTGCCCCAAGCTATGTAAGTACATAGATATACGATTAAAGGGAATTCCAACCTAGGACTAGTATTTAACATGTAATTTGTCATGTTATGTAGTACTGTTGTGCAACATTGCTTCCCTCATCATTCTGCATCAGTTTGATAGAATTCCCAGTTTTGTATCAGTTTTGTATTTGTGTTTCATTTCATTCATCAGCATGCACTGTACAAATACGTCATAGCCTACAACCACTGGGAATCCTGACAAAAATTATAAAGAAATCCTGACAGCTAGCATAGCCAGTGATGTAGAGCCTAATAAACAAATAGATACTTTATTTTTTTAGCAGTACCATTAGCTAGCGTTATCTGTCTTCTGCATTTGCCAGCTTGGGAAGATAAAAATATTTCAAGTAGCCTTTCCTCAGGTGTCTGCCCAAAAATGCTTGTAGTTCCTCCCACGTGTATGATACATTATCAGAAGGGTGTTTTCCTAGTCTGTAAACCAGAAAATCTCACTGTAGAGACTACTGTGACAACACTGAGGGAGCTGAGTAGGCATGCTTACAAACAAGTGTAGTGATGGTCAAATTTTTAATTTCGGCTGGAATGTCCATTAAAGCAGGTTTTCAGAGGAGGAGACGTTTCCCCTTATTGCTTGTTTCAATGTTTTATTATACCTCACACAGTGTGTGGGCCAGCAGCTCTATTTTGCCACTGTCTGACTTGGGCTCTTCACAAAGTACTGTTAATGTCTGTGGTACGCCTTTTCACAAAGGTCTTAATGAGATCACGACTTCTCCTTATTAGAAGTTGATTCCCCCAAGTAGGCACGTCACATATGACAAAATCACATTTAATAAAATCAATTTTCAACACAGTAGCAGATATCCCATTTGTTTATTGCTGCAAGACAAATATTATATGTACATACAGTTCAGTTCATTCATATGCAACACAGAACATTCCTCTGTCTAATTCATACAGACATCTCAATGTAAACAAGTGAATCTCAAAATGTAAAACAATGTAATGCTGCATGAGAGATATGCACAGTCAGCTGTGCATCAAACCTGTAAAGGATGAGGGATTGAAAAGGAATGAGGAGAAAATAGGAGTGAGAATGAAGTGCTGAAAGAGAGGGAGGATGGCAGGAAAAACAGATCAAATTCAGAAGTGAATGTTTACGGTTCAGGCGGAGGTATGGCCTCCTCCTTTTTTTCAGGGTCAGAGGTGGTCCTCAGGGCCATGTCCTGTTTAAGGTCCTTTGCCACATCCTTTGTTCTGCAGAGTGAAGCAAACAACAAAAATGCAAACAAAATCAGGTGATAAAACAACAGCCTAACAGCAGAGGGAGACATTGGCTTAAATTAGACTGCCAGTGTTGAACCCCTAGTCAGAAATCACAGCAGCTGCTAGACTGATCTTTAGTGCTCAATGTTCAAATGAGAAATCATTTTGGTGAGTGGGCTCCTTAAACTTTTATGATAGGAATAAGACATTGTACATCATTGTACATTAACTCTCGTCGTGAAAGGCCAGTGTCCAGCAAAGTTTGGTGATTTCCCTGCTCAAACGAATACGATTCTACCAATCTGTTAACTAATTGTCAGGTTTTGTAGATGCGATAACACAGAGAAGTCAAACTGTGTTCCTGGACTGGAGCTGACAAGCCCTCACATACTGGCAGATGCAGTGCAGCGAAAGATGTGTGGATACTACACACTTCTTTAATGGTCAAGTAGTATGCAATGGATTGAATTTAGAACATAACGTTCAAGCAAGCCAGTTTGGACTTGCCATATATATTCAGACACACTAATATTCTCGTGTACTGCTCTTATGTACAATATCAGTGGGGAACCCTCAGGGTCTTCTAGACCTTCGGATAAGAACCAATGATTTCTGTGAAATAAAATAACACATTTAATATAAGTATATTAAAAAAAGTATATTTTTAAAAAGTATATTTTTATTTAATATAATCATCATTATTGGTGTATTTAAACTATAAGAAACTGTAGTAATTTAACTGTTAAGTTGAAAACTAAAGGGTTAAATTCTTGAAACACTGCAGAAAATTGTCCAATCAGGGGTTTTCCTCTGTGACATCTAGGCTAGCCTTCCCATTGGGTAGGACCTCAGGAGCTGGACTGAGGCCTTACACTTTAGATTACCTACCAAAATAATTAGGAACCAGAAGTGAAATCAACCAATCATGTTTTGATTTCCAAAAGATGTGATCAAACATCACTATAGGCATTTTGAATGTACTGGATGCATCACTGACTTTGTGAGGTGGCCTCACCAGTGCATTTTTGTCAATTGTTAGAAATGGTAAACAGTGGCGGTAACACTTTGCAGGGCTCTTTACTAAAAGCTACTGTAGAAATGTTACAAGCAAGGTACAGTATATGTTAATGTCTGTTTGAAGCTTCAAATGAAACATTGAATGTCTTTTATAAGCTTTAAATATCTGTGTTTAATCTTGAATGACCAAAAAAATGTTAATGTGAATTAATACTTATCATTTAGCTTAGCACTAACATACTATTAAAATTCCATATGGGCGCTAGCAAAAATTAGTGTTCTCGTAGAGATGTTTTTTTTAGGACATTTATGGCCCGAACTGAACATCTAGCTCTAACAGTCGTGGTTTGCCACTGTACTATTCAGTATGGAAGTACGCCATTTCGGATGGGGTAGGAAACCTATCAAAGCAACGTGCTCACTAAAATGTAAAATATATCTGTTAGTCTATTTACTGTGCTTTTATCTCTGCTGGTAAATAAACAATTAGCAGTAAGTAGTAAAGGTTATACAGTAAACTAGTAAGTGTTGTCTTGTGATTTCTGACTGTGACTTCAATGGCAGATGACTATTTGCAACTTCCATCCATGATGCCCTTGTACATACAAAAGGTTCATATTTTTTAGAAATGAATGGATGGATACTCCATGGATGAAAAAAAGAAGACTATGACTAAACTAACAGAGTATAAAAATGAAAATTCATTAAATTAGTTGGAGCATACAGGTGTGCTACAGGGAAAAAGTCTAATAGGTTTACATTGGACGCTGTAAAGATGTGTTTATGATGGTTTTGAATCAGGGTTCCACACCTGATACAACTCATCTACTCATCATTACGCCCTAATGAAATAAGCTGGGTGTGTTAAAGCAGGGTCCACTGTTCTTACCACTGCTTTGTTGGCATGATCTGCACTATGATCAGTATAGCCACATTATAGTGCTTCATGTTTTTTGTTTGTTTGTTTGTTTGTTTTTGAGGCCAATTTAAGAAGTATAACAGCTACAGAGGGTGTACAAAATAATAGAAACTCTACCTGAAATGTTCATGCTCACTGATCACTTAATCAGGTGCACCTACCATATAGGTGCACTTTTAGGTTTGCAGACTGAATTCCCAAATAGTAACACTAAACCTACAAAGTGTACCCCTGTGGTTGATGTTCCTCGTTAAATAGTCAGGGAGTATCAGTATTTTTTGTGGTGTTTTAGCTATGTTGGGCATAATTACCCATTTACTACATTACAGCTGTTGTGATTGTGATTTAGTCTGAAAAATACAATTTATATTCGTTTTTTTTTTAAATACAACATTTTCTTTGCTATGCAGATGACCAGACTGAACATTACAGAAAAGGCAGCGAGAGTGAAAGGTTGAAGTGAGAATTCAGTCTAAGATGGTTCAGTGCAGAGTGCTGGACAGAGCAGGAGATGAGGAGAAGTTAAAGAGATTAAAGGTTATACAGTAGCTCATTAATAAATGTGACCTGGGCTGGGGAGGCGGTCGGACACTGGGCAGGACGTCCCAGCTCGACGTAGAGCTGCCGTGTGACCAGGAGACACAATCAGGTGACCAGTGACAAATCAGCCACAGATGAACATGATCAATGAAAAATCAAACATGATTCAACACATGATCTGCTTAAAATGATACAATCAGTGCATTTTGTTATGTATTTAATATCACATTAGGCTTTTATTGCTGCAGGTATGTTAGGGATTGTAAAGGGAAGAAATTTTAACTTGAAAGCAGACAGATATTCATAGAATATTGCAGGCTGACGTATTCAGGAAGTGCCAAACTGTAAAAGCACCAACAGTCCAGGGAAAACCTCCCAGATAGAAAGCATGAGGTTGAAGGTTTTCCTTAGGACATGCCAGTATTGAGTGAGTGTACGTCATGAAATATTAGGGACTTTAAGTGACAATGGTTGCCGTGACGGCCATGACAACTGGAAATAAATCTGCGTTAGCACCACATTACAGTCACTAAGCAACAACTCTAATAATATTGCTGCTATCATTTATAATTTTCTGAATCAATATGAATAACAATGATATGACTTTGATACAGATTCCTGAAAGATCTTTCTATCTCTATACCTTATTTTAAATTATAAACGAAAAGTGGGTGACTCTCTCCAAAGTTTAGGGCAATTTTCCTCGTCACAATTGCACATCTTGCTATTAGGTTGTGAAAAGTAAATCTTTTACAAAACCACATTTGTTAAAAAAAAGATTCAAGACAAGTTGTAGATTGCAAATCCACATTATTTGCATAATCATCTGCCTGCTTTTATTGGATGTTGGCAAAACGTGGTTTTGAGTCAGCCGAACATTCTCTTTCAGACCTACGTTTCCTGAATGTGGAGAGAGTTTGCTACACAGCAGAGCAAGAGATTGAGGGAAGCCTTCTGCATCTATGAATTTAAGTCTCTAGCCCCCCAGTGATGTAAGGATTTCAATCTTAATAGTTTTTTTTTGTAAAAATAACAATTTTATAAAAGTTTAAACAATTTGTTTGATGTAATAGTCTATTATATACATTGCTGACACTTGTAATCTAGCATATCTTCAAGTATTGTTGCATAGTCAGTTTAAGAAGTTCATATCAGACTATACATAGCTGTGGGCGATTGGTTTTGGTCTTTAAAATGGATCTAAAAAGTTGCTTCATAAGCACTGATGAAAGCAAGAGGCTGAAATGTCTACTCAGTCTGAGAGATATTTCTGCACTTAACATAATTAGAAAAAAGCACTTTTTTCGCTAAATGTCTCATCTTTCTTGCTGTGTGCAGGCCACATTTTCCCAGGTTATTTATGGCATAAACTAGAAATGAATGTGGAGCACTGAATGTGTGTATACTGCAGATTGATCAAGATGCACTGATGTTAATAACATGCATATGGAATGTAATGTAGACAGCTAATCAGCAGGCCAGATTTTGGAGTTAGCATGCTTATTGGCTGACTGATGCTGAGACTGACTGTGTATATAATGAAATTTGGTAATGAATGACAGAATTTCTGCATCTGTGAAAACTAAAAAACTAAAAGCTCTCAGTGTGCTGTATAGTTTCGACCCCTCAGTGGGATATAAGGTGGCGTAAGAATGGATAATACCGAAAAGCTGAAAATCCTATAGGCTTTCAGTAAAGATTTTGTAGTCTTAGTCAGTTCCAGCACGTCATCAGCAACTGCGCATGTGGAAATGAGCACGTAGGGAAAGAGAGCTGAAATCCCCCTGTCGTTTAACACTGTCAACAAGCCTGTACAGAAAAAACAAAGAGCTTGGCAGAGTTTCTCACCGAATCGTTTTCACAGCAAACCAGGTGATCGTGGCCAGGCCAATGCAACCACAGAGTGAGCCTATTACAATGGCTGAGATTTCGCCTGAGAGATAGAGAGAGAGAGAGAGAGAGAGAGAGAGAGAGAAACAAATTCATTTAAAGAACTTTAATGGGACTTAAACTCATGAGATCACATCATTAAATTTAATAAACTCATGAGATCACATCATGAGATCACATCATCACAATTTCATGAATATAAAAGCATTTCGAACATGAAAAGTCAACAATGATGGTATCAAAAATAATGAAGATCTTACCATCTGTGTAGATTTTTACTGAAACTAGACAGAAAAAAGGACGTATATTAGAATCATGCTTTTATAACACAAACATTATTTGAGATCTCCTCTCAAAGTCAAAGCCAGCCCCATGTTCTCTTCTCAGTTTCTACACTCAGTAACTAACAGTGAAAAGTTATGGTGGGTGAGGTTATGCCAAATAACACTCCAAGTTATTTACACATAAAATGTGCAATAAGGACTTTTTTCACTGGGCCCAGTTACTGACCTCAAAAGGTTTAGGGCCTGAAACTAACCAACCCTTTGGATTTTTATAATTATAAGAAATTTAGGAAGTAAGCAACTGACAGATTTTTGTATGGTTGCATCTTGTGATATTACATTAGTTATTTCTCACAAATAGCTCACCTAAACAAGTGGAGATGTTCCGTTGAAATTGCAGATACTAAACTTTTAATAGAGATTACATTTGTATTCATAAGTAGAAAAAGGAAATATTTTATTATGGTTTCAACATAAAAAACATCTGAACATCTTTTATATTTTTGCCATTTCTTTGATTTTTTAAATTCTAAGACCGTGGGAAAAAGTTAAATGCAAATGTAATTCATTATGTAGTTTACTATGTAACTGATCATGCAATTATATTATTACATTTAATTAGTTAGCAAAATACCAGTAATAACTCTAGACTTCAAATGATTAAAGTGTTTTAGTGTGTTACACTTGTTTTGAGCTGGGATGGTTTGACGCTGAAGAGTTTGTGTGTGTGTGTGTGTGTGTGTGTGTGTGTGTGTGTGTGTGTTTGTGTGTGTGTGAGAGGGAGAGTAACTAAGGGCCAGTAAGTGCCCTCGAGTGTCAGCTGCAGTGTCAGTATTTCACTTCAAGCAATCTCAGACATTCCTTAGGTGCTTTCGTTTTTCTCACCCCTCATGTTTACCACACTGCCCCTCTCTGTGTCCCTCTCAACCCACAGACCCCCGGCCCCTCTCTCACATGACTACAATAAGCTCCCTGTTCAGAGGGGGAGATTTTGAATCTGAATTAATCAGCCGTCACACAAACAAAGAGCTCGGCCGTGGCCCTCTCTTCCCCCCCCATCCCCCTTTCCCACTCTCCCTTACTCACTCACCAGGGATGAAGGAGGACAGGACGGTCCGGTGGTTAAGCGGCTGGGTGGCACGATAATTATCCTGCAGCAAAGTGGGCTGTGACTCCCCAGATTTAGTGGAGTACAGCACTGTCTCCAACTTCAACAGCTGGAGGAGAGGAGAGGAGAGGAGAGAAGATGAGGAGAGAGGAAAGGAGATCAGGAGAGGGAAAGAGAACAGGAGAGCAGAGCAGAGGAGAAAAGACAAAAGAAAAGTAGAGGAAGAGAGGAGGAGAAAGGAAAGCAGAGGAGAGAGGAAAAGAGGAGAATTAAGGAGAGGAGGTGAAGAGATGAGAGCATGAGTAGAAAGGAGAGGAGTACAGGAGAGAGGAGGAAAACAGAAGATAGGAGAGAAAAGAAAAGAGTAGAGATGAGAGTGAGGAAAAGTAGAGGGGAGGAGCAGAGAGGAGGTAAACAGGAAAGGAGAACAAAGGTATATAGAAAAAAGGGAGCAGAGAGGAGGGAGGAGGAAAACAGAAAAGAAGAGGAGAGCAGAGGAGAAGAGAGGAAATTAGAGGAGAGGACAAAAGAAGAAGAAAGCAAGAGCAGAGGAAAAGAGGAGAGAGGAGTAGAAGAGAGTGGAAGAAAACAGAGAAAAGGAGATTAATATAGAAGAGAGGAGAGTGAAGGGGAGGAGGAGGAAAACAAATGAAGAAGAAAAGAACAAAACTGAAATGCATACTGAGCTCCAAATAAGAATAAGTGTATTGATGTTTCTGTGGCCTAAGGATGATTAAGTCCTGATGCAGAATTAGTTTTTGTACCTGGGAGTGTGAAATTCTGACTTTCTCAGCGAAGACAGTCCACAGCACACTCTGGTAGCAGGGAGGAGTGGTCAGCGAACCATTGTAGCGGAAATAGCGGTTCAGGTCTCTGGGCAGCAGTGTTTGCACATCAAAGCCGGGTATGGCCACTTTCTGACCTGCCCAGAAAGGACAGCCACACACGCAGTACTGGGTCACTGGGGTTTTCAATCTTAACTGACATCTACAGCAGTGGATCCTAATTCTCTCGTTCTCAAATACCTCATTAGTTTTTCCTGCACAAACATACCTGATTTAAACCATCAGCTCATAACTAAGCCCATCATTGGATTAACATGGGCTGTTTAAGCACAAAACCTCTAAAATGCACAGTGCAGAGGTTAGTAGCATGACTGGGAAACACTACTCTATTACACTGTGTTTTCACTATTACTTTAAAGTAGAATCCATAAAAAAACACACAGACTGATACATACACATGTGTCTGATACTCATGTCTTTTGCTGTTGTGTACATCATGTTCAGTGAGCTCATGTTCTGTTTGTAAAGCAACTTTGAGCATGGCGAAGGTGCTAAATAAAGGTCATGAATGGCTTGAGTATTGACCACCAGCCCTCCTCTTGGAAATCTACTTTCCTGCAGGTTTCACCTTCACCCCAGACATAACTCACTCCTTTCAGCTAATCAAGGACTATTGAAGGCGATGATTAGATGGATCAGGTGGGATCAATTAGGGTTAGAGCTAAAGTCTGCAGGAAGGAAGCCCTCCAGGTGGAAGGTTGGTGACCATTGGTCTAGACGGTGGATAACACAAACTGTGCATCAACAAATGAGCTACAGTCTCAAACTGTACACCAATAAGGTGGAGCTGCAGTGTAGAGGTTTTTAATAAAGTGAATGGTTGGCGTATACACTCACCTGCATGCCTGATGCGTCCCAAGTAGTTAAGGATGTTAGTATATGCCTGGTTGGTTTCACCACCTGCCTGGCAGAGAGAGAAGCATTTAAGATGGACTTGATTCTACTTTAAACTATGCCATAAAGGTCAAAAATGTCAAGAAAGTTGTAATTAAATTTGTTGAATATTTTAAGAATGTAGCTGCACCCAACGAATATGGACTCAAGAACATACTCAAGCAAGTGCATGGATTATGCTGGAAATCATAACAGGTCATAAAATACACATAACACATTTTAAATGGGAATTGAAACAATTTGTCAAACATTCTGCATTCTTTAAGATGTAAACAAAGTAAATGAGCTGTTGAAAAGAACCTTATGAGTCAGAATTGTTCACAGCGGTACACAGGAACCAGTTTAATACCTCTAAAGGCCACCTCCCAGGGACTTGTTAAATGAAATAGTTACAAATACGATTCCTAATACCTAAGACAGTGTTTTATGATAGTTTTGCCATTTGGTTTTGCCATAACACAAATTTTCAAATCTATTCATGGCAGAGAAGTGCATGCAGAGTGTTGTAAGGGAAAATAGTTCCCAAAGAAACCAGATTTTTTCAGATTCACAACTGTTTTACTGTTATCAACATTACATATACAAACTTTGAAGACTCTTGTAGGTTCACTGGTCATTTTGATAGTAAATAAAAAGGCTACATTTGGTTGGAGACATCACAACCCCCATTTCCTATCACCACTGTAAGAAATCCAAGTTGGTAAGTTTCCCTACCATAAACCATTTTACACCAATCCACTCTGAATGACTTTGTTTACGTCTCAGCCAAAAATTCTGGTGAAAAACTGGTGGAAGTCACTTGTACTATTCTGGTCATATTTATTCTGACTTTAGTTGTAAAGTTTAAGAACTTAAGTATGTATGTTTGTGAAAGCAAGGTGATACTATTTATATTATATCAGATACCAGACATGCAACAAATGATTGGTTTGTCCCTCTAATCAGGGAAATAATTTTAGTCTATAAAGGCTTTGACATGAAGTCATAGTACAAGCGTTTAATTATTTAAGTGGTGTGTATCCTTAAGAATGCAGCTGCAAGTTAATGAGAAGTTAATGCACTTGCAGTTTACTGATTGACAGGATTTGGTTGTGTGATTCGTTGGGCTGTGTGTAATATAACATCAAGTTGCTGTTTTAGAATTGACTCAATTGTGCAGTAGGCCATGTAGGCTATGTGTTTTCTATGGCCTCTATTTGTTTTATTCTTTTTAATGTCAAGCCCAGCGCATAATAAATTCCAGAGTAGGTGTTTCTATACTTACAAATGGCAAATAATAATAACTGAAAAAAATGAAGCTGAAAAACTGTGATAGGCACCTCTATGAGCACTCCCAGCACAGCCAGTCCATTTGCCTGGGTTTTAGCTTCGGACATGTTGGCATACAGTTCTGAATTATAGTGGACCACATGGAGCTAGAGAGAGAGAGAAAGAAAGAGAGAGAGAGAGAGAGAGAGAGAGAGAGAGAGAGAGAGAGAGAGAGAGAAAGAGAGAGAGAGAGAGAGAGAGAGAGAGAGAAATATCATTAAGAAAAAGTCAAAAATTTGAGACGAACACCTTGATGGTTCTAATTTAGTAATATATAGTGCCATTTACTCATGCACTTGTACACTTATGAAAAAATGTTGGTTTAAATTTTTTTTAAAGAGTTAATTATTCAAAAAATGCTTGATCAACACAGGCTTTCTGTCACACTTATTCAAAAAGTGTATGTGCGAGAAAGAGCAAGTTTGGAGGACACAGACAGACAGACTGTTCTTGCCAGTCAAATCTTTTGTAAACCAGGCTTAGCGAATCTGAATAACAATCCAGTTGGCTACATTTATGCTGGGCACTGGCAGAAAACTGGCCAGGACGGTGGGATGGCCAGAGGGAGGCAAAAGAAATAAGTCCTGAGTCATGAATATCTCATCCAGAAAGACTGAGCGAGAGAGAGCTGTCTAAATGTTGTCTATGATGGAGCACAATCTTTTGCTTTCCTCTCAGTCTCTTTTTCCCTCCTTTTGGCTCGTCTGAATAAGGCCAGATGGAGAGGAACTGAAGTTTCCACCCCCTGTCTCTCTTTCTCCTTTCTTCCCTCCAAAACCCCTAAAAAGCAAACTCACCTAGTAAAGCCATGTGCTAATATTGTACAATTTGCTTCAATCTTCAGCTTGACTTGCTGTGAAATTTTAAATTTACTGATGGCACTTAAGATGCAAAAACTCATATAAACATCAATGCGTTTATAAACCAAAAGCCTAACATTTTGGTTCACAGCTGGGTGAGTAAGGTTCCCTGAATTTATTACAGTTGATTAGCTAAGAAATGTCTTATGCTTACTAGCAGACAAACAGCTACAAAAGCCCTTTGTTTGCCAAGTTGCACTATTTAACATGGATACACTGACATTTCAGCCAAAAATGGTGAAAAAAAGACATTTTTTGTTTTTGGCCAAAAGAGGAAAAAAAGGCAGATATTTCCTCATAAAATACAAAATCAAATAATAAATAGGTCAACAATGGAGTGCCAAAATCTAATCATTTTAATGATAATGAGAAATAGGGATCAAAATGCTGATTTGTTTTCTTTGTTCAAAGAGTTTGAGTGGCAGTGGATCAACAGTAAAAATGTTGGCCATGTGTGTTTCATAGTTTCTATGAGGGACATGAGACAAACGTTTTATAATCTCTGCTCATGTAAAGTAGCAAGAAGAGATACAACAGACAAGAACTTCTCCAGTATACGCTTAATAACACTTAAAACCAGGCCTGCTTGATATGCAGAATATGGTACAACAACACAAACAGAAAGTCCCTGCTAGCACGACAACACTATCTGTAGTCACGGTTTTTAAAGTGATGGACAGATCACTAAAAAACTAAAAATTAATGGAATTCATTGCCTTGGATGACCAACCCTTTTCTGTTGTCAAGGATGTTTCATGGCACATTCTGTAGCTGAAATAGTGTAATAATTTTTGTAAATTCATTTTACGTAAAGTGTCAGCTTTTTTTGGTTTTCAGTCAAGGGTGTCCTTACATTCATTTTTGGTTTTGGCCAGGAATGATCATTTTGTTGCATCACTACTGTGAAAGGCTGACTAAACCTACTAGGCAGATGCATATAAACCCTTCTCTGAGATGCAGAGAAGGGGCTCATGGGTAAGTATAGCTTGTAGAGGCTCATAGAGGCCATGACATACACCTCCAAAATCGCTATGTGTCATGTGAATCTGTGGAGCTTTGCGTCAGGTGCTGATTGGCTATCCAGTAGCACTGGGGGCAGGACAAGACTCAGTACTCAACCCAAACCAGAGCAAGGGCAGAACCAAATGGAACAGTCTGAAGGAGGCAGGAGAGGTGTAACATTGAGGTGATTGATCTTCAAAATATTACAAAAAAGGTGATGCAAGTTTTAATTCTCAAAGAGAGATGAGGAAGAACGCAGGACACACAGACAGCTCAGACACAGACCTACCAATCATTCCTGTGTAGCAGTTCCAACAGTTGTAATCTAAGGTTTTATCCCAAATCTATTCCAGCTGACTTCCCTAAAGACTTCCCTGCCACACTTCAACAATAGGCTTGTACTGAGGAGGTTAACACCTTCTGCTACTGTGTCCTTGAACAAGGCACTCTGAGCTCCAGGGAGTCTGCTAAAGCAGTGTGATTTATTCCTCCATTACCTGTTCATTCATCCTACCATCCCTCTCTCAAAACATATGGGAGTGGGGTTGGAGGTGCGGTCCAGCACCAGCAACGAACCGGCAGAGGAACCCTAGAGGGATAATCCAGGAAAACCAACAGGAGCTGGAGCACAAATATAATACCTGGTAGGGTACCTGGCAATCAGCCAATAAAAAAGAATGATTGGTGCATCTCTAATGCCTGTTATTACTGTGTGATTCTCTGTGTACGTAATGGAGAAACAGGGACAAAAACAAGTTTTGTTTTTTTTGCCTTGGGAAATATTCCCCAATTTGGATATTTTTCAAAAATCACTTAATTAGTAATCCACTCCTGTAATTCTAATTCTTGGGCTGATTAACCCAAATTTAGCAAAAACAAAAACTCTGAGTTTGTTTACTCACACCAGAAACAGATTACTGGAAAGTCAAGACTCTCCAGAGGGACACTTTGATAATATAGCTTCAGCTTGAGTTAAAATGAGGGAAAATCTGATGTAAGAGAGGAGCAACACAGCAGAGAAAACTCAACAGCACACACTGTACTGATATATCAGCACGAAGACTGGAAATTTACCCACACAAACACATATAAACATATACATATATATATATTAGGGGTGCGGGAAAAATTGATTCTTAGATGCATCGCGATGCGGACGTGAACGATTCTGAATCAATTCACCAATGTCAAAAATCGATTTTCTAAATATTTAATTGACAACGTAATGTTGATGGAACGCAAAAGGCGGAACTTGGAAGTGGGTAAGTGCACCGCCCGGACAGTCTGTGGCGGCACATAACAAAAACACAACTGGATGACTTTCACTCTGCTTTAAGCTTTAGCTATAGCCGCTTCTTCCCATCTCCACCAGAAAACCTTTCCTCAGAAGTAGATCAGTTAAATGTCTCTCGTTTGACTGTTTTACGAGGCTGAAGTCGCTTCTTATTCTCCAGCTTCTTGTTCGAATTTTCCTGTTCCACCTTAAATTCTGACTGAGGCGCCGAATGTAAATGCGGCACCATTTAAGGTGGAACGGGAGAATTCGAAAGAGACGCGACTTCAGCTTCACCACTTTTTAGTGTTTGACAGTCTCTCGTTGCAGATTTAACATACCAGGAAACCAACTGCGCTGCTTATAAATGCGAATAACGCATCGCTGCTATGTGACCTGCAGTCTGCACGCCGGTTCTCAGTCGTTGCGAAACGGGGCTTTCGCGCTATGCTGCACACGTCCCGTCTCAAAGACATTTTACTGACACAGCGACCCCGCCGCCGAAATTACAAAATCACTGAAGAAAACGGGTAGAATAGCTGTAACATGTGCTGCGTGGACATCCATCACCACTGGATCTTATTTCACCGTAACTGCGCATTTTATTGCAGATGAGTAGCAGCAGCTTCTCGTGCTCCAAACAAGAGCACTGAATGAGAGCCTTCTAGTTCACTTGCCACATCACTTCCATTTGATTTATTAAAAAAGATATTGGAAGTAAATTCATTATGGATCATTGCAAATACTTTGCTTTAAAAATACCAAGTCACTTTAAATAACAACACTGAGTTACTTAGTCACTTTAAAATGTATATTGTCTCTACATTCTGTGTATATTCTGTGTATACTTTGTGTATATTTAATATATTTCAGTTGGTTCTTCTTGTATTTTTATTTTTACTTATTTACTTTCTGTAAAGTGATTAGCTGAGCCTCACCACAAGCATTTCAATGCATAAATGTCCTGACATGTTGTGCGATAAATAAACTTGAAACTTGAACTCGTAACTTGAACTCACACAGTGAGAAAATATAAATGCTATATAGAAAAGAAAGATGTATCGATAATCGTTTTATAATCGCATCGCAGCCCTCTGAATCGTAATCGAATCGTGAGGTGCCTAGAGATTCCCACCCCTGATATATATATATATATATATATATATATTATATATATATATATATATATATATAATGTATATATAAAACGTCTGGGACTTTCCATTTAAACCTGGAAATAAATAGCATACTTTAAAAAATTATCAAATTAAAACTTAAAACAAATTAAAAGTCAAATGAAAAAGGAATATTCAACATTCTGCAATATTTCTGGATCACTAATCAAATTTAAGCAAATTTTTAGACAATGACTGTGTGAAGGACTTTGTACAAAGAGGTCAGACTTTTTTAGTCTTATCCCATCCATTGAAGGTCCTGTTCAAAAACAGGCTTTTGTACAAACTTGTGGAGTTCATGTCAGCTCGAGTGCATTCTGTCATTAAAGCAAAAACTATACTGGAAATACTGTACCAAATACTGAAATTTTGAAATTTATGTAATTTTTTTTTTAATTTACTCAAATTGTTATATTCATAATATAATGAATATAGTAAAATTACATTAAAAAAGAATGCAAAATGGAATACAAAATGGTCTCAGATGATTGGACACCATTGTTTATGGTGCATTTTTACTTTGAACAAAATTAAAGAAGTTTTTAACAAAGTAGCTCACAATCAAACAGCATTGCCAGCACTGAAACCACTCACCGGAAGTTTATAGAGGAGAATCATGTACTGTGTAGCTAGCCTTTGATAGTTAATATAGCTAGCGTTAGCTCTCTATACTTCCTTGCCTAGGTCAAATAGGTCACATAATTAGTGAAGTCTTGTGTTCATGAAGAACTGAGGTGGGAGCACATGATGCTAATATGTCAAAATCCTTATCATTCACAACATACATCATGACGGAATATTATAAACCTAATTCTTGTTGTACTTTTTTATTTTACTGGATTATCCTCCCTAAATCTTGGTTTTTGGAATTGAGATAATTGCATGAAATCGACATCTGTATCAGAATCAGAGCTGAAACCAGAATTTATAGGATCAAACTGCTCTGCACACACCTCTGCAGAAGCACTACTTCCATCAATGGTGTGCTCGCTCCCTGTAGCCACGCCCACTCCGTTGCCCCAGTGTAGGTGGAGTTGAACGGCACTGAATTGCCATGGCAACCCAGTCACGCCCATCCAACTTGGCAATGGCATCTCCACTGAGAGAGAGAGAGAGAGAGAGAGAGAGAAGAGCTGGATGAGTATTAAACTCATGTTAGTCATAGCCATGTTTTCCAGCATTGTAAAACAGCTGTAAAAATAGTACTTTTTATTAGCAGATAACAGATTGAACGTCAGTAATGAGGAAAATGTTTAAATTTGTCCAGATTGATGAACAGGACGATGGATGATTCTATAATACATTGATGATAAAATTAATGTCCAGAATGCCTCTTATTTGAAAAGTGGTATATAATGTCTCATGGAATTACTGTAAATAGATGATGACAGTATATATTTTTTATCAATTAATAACTGCTAACTTCTTTCTGTCCCCCCCAAAAAATGAAATATTAAACAAAAACTATTAAAATGCCTTATGGTTTTGTCTAACATACGAAACCATGAACAGAATTGCACAAACATGCTATAAATAATACAATAATGAGATGTGAAGTTACACAGCTATATGTATACAATGACTGAATTTACTGTATACTTTACAGTCATTTACTGGCAGCAGAGTTGTCTGTAAAGTACTTCAAATTTACATTTACTGGAGCTGAACCACAATGTCTACCGCAGACCTGTACTGTTATTTCATTCTGCAGATTATTATTGTACATTTTCCTGGTAAGTCAGGAACTGCACTGTAACTGCACTGTAAGTCACTCATTTTACTTTTTGTACTTTTACAATATATTAACAGTAAACGTACAGTAGGGTTTTTTCACAGTATATTACTAAAGCTTGGAAGCTTCATTGTATGTAAAGTCTTTCTAAGTCTCTTCTAAGTTAAAATAGGTTAACATGTCCTCTACAAAGAATATACTTATGACACATTTTATGTTTTAATTTTCCCCAATATGTTAAATTCAGCAAATAAATAAGAAAATGGCATACTTTAGTTTGTGTTAACTTATTTGCAATCAGAAAATAAACTAAACATGTCATTTGGTCAGGGCTGAGTTTGGTCAGGGTTAAGTATGTATGTGTGTGTGCTGTGAATGGGAGGGACGTAGCTAGAGGATTACCTGTGTGACCGTTGTTGGAGAGAGTGAAGGGTTCACGGCCATACTGGCCATAGCCCAGTGGCTTTATTGGGGTGAGAGACGAGTCGTATTGTGTTCGGGAAGTGTCCACATCTATGGGTGACTGACCAGAACCTCCACAATCTGGAAAAACCTCTGACCATTCAGATTGTCCCACAACTCCTGTAGGGAACGAAATGCAGATCATTTATGAGGGTGCATGTATGAATGTGTGTGTTTGTGGGTAAAGAGTGTGTGTGTGTGTGTATGTGTGTGCACGTTTTGCACCATGTTATGATAAGATCTTAAACTAATTACTTGGGGACCACTAGCCATGTGGTATTCTCCAAGCAAGGAGGGTTGAAAAAATGCAGGGGAAAATGGTCCCATTTTTTTTCCCAAGCATAAATTTTAACTACATAACATTTTCAATGTTTTACCTAACATATTAAACTCAAACAAGGGAAAAATATATATTTTTTCTACATAACATAAACATTCATATAACCGCATCTTAATCAGTGGTTATTAGCAATTCTTCTGTCACCAGAAACCATAATTGTTCCTTTAATAATGTGTAGTAATAATAATAATTACTATGATTTCTGAGTAGTAGTTCTATAAATACATATAGTTTAACAAATACTTCAGTGTTCAACTAAATCAATGAAACGTACATTAAACAGTAGATTATATGCGATTCTTATTATGAGTTAATGTTTTTGCTTTTATCATGGTTGGCGTCAATTTAAAGTGCATTCACTTCCTTTCATTTTAGAGTGTCTTTCAGCCAAAGATAAGGACATATCTGAGCCATTTTAGATTCCCATGTGGCCCTGTCCTCTTCCAGAGAGACTGGACTTTCTGCCATTTGATCAACAAGACTGATGATCATTTTATAGCTTCAGAATTAATGTTTTTCCATGACAGTATAGAAAATTATGTGATAAAGCTGTGATTCAAAAGACTGCCCAGTAATGTAAGTAAGAGCTCCTCAGTAATATAAAGCACAGAGTAGGTTTGCTTAATAATAATAGCAATAATAATAATAGTAAAAATTGATTATTATTATTATTATTATTCACATTACTTACAGTTATTAGTAGTAGTAGCAATAGTCGTATTACTAGTAGTATTCTTGATTTTCATATTTTATAATGATCAGTAATATAATACATGTTAAGTAAGGGGCTGTTTGTTTGTTGTAATGTCGTGTGTAAATAGCTGTGATGGTTTAAGTTCCTATTTTGCTGGGCAGCTCCTACCAACAATATGATTATTTGCACCACACGCTGGAGACTGGTGACATTTCAATGCCTGTGCCATCTCACACATTCCCACCACCCACAAGCACGAGAAGCTGATCAGGAAGTGACACGACTGACCTCAGCTTGTTCCTACAGAAAACAGTGGGATGACTGGGTCCAGTTTGCATATAATGTCAATGATGTATACTCAGCAGCAGCCTTTTACCCAAAATTCCTTGAGATACAGGCAAAGACGAATCAGAGTGGGTGGGTTTTGTTTACAGCTGTCCGACCAACATAGCGGAGAGGAAGCCATTCAGATGTAAATGAAAGTATATTTGTTAATTAACTTAACTCCTCATTAAGCTGCATTATACTTGTAATCTGAACTAAGGTGCTGTGGATTAGCAAATTAGCTCACTAAACAAAAACAATACGCCAATATGCAGAGCCTGCACATTGCATGAGCCTGTAACGAATGCACACATTTAAACTAAGCACCCTCAAGGTCTCTTACCCTATAGGTCTGCATATTGTTGGTGTCACCAAAGGGTCGCAGTGCTTAGGGTGCCATTTGGGACTTTAGTCACTGGCGACAGAAACAGCTTGAGCAAATAAACAAACACCTAAAGGTGTTGCAGCACCAGTTTAGAACTTTTGTTGTTTTTGTAAGTAATTTTGTATGCTTTATTTTGTATACATTCATTAAACTAATGGACAAAATCCCACCCAGTTCACAGTCTGTTCATTGAAACACAAACATAGTATTGTGAAAGCTGTGGAAAATAATTGCAGTCAGCTGAAATAATCACAAACAGCTCAAATAATTGCGTTTATGTAATAATTGTGACAGGCCTGTGTGTGTGTGTGTGTGTGTGTGTGTGTGTGTGTGTGTGTGTGTGTGTGTTTTTGTGTTCCAGTGTGGTGCTCAGTTAGTTCCTTGTACATGAGGATTAACCCACAACACATCACCCCTCTCACACAAACACATTCACACCAAAAAGGAGGGAAAGAAAACTTTGTAAAACAGCTCTGCCGTTGCCAAGGTGATCACCATGGAGATGGTGGGACACATATCCCTAAGCCCTGCCAGTCCACCTCTCGCAGGCTGTCCCAAATACGGGCAGAGGACAAAGCACCACAAAGCCCAGCGTTCATGCACTGAAAACACAGCCTATACCTCGCACAGACACACACGTGCAAACAGGCACGCACAGGCAAACTCAAGCAAGCACACAACACACAACTGAACATGAGCTTCAGTGGACGTGTTTAGACTAAAAATCTCACCTTTTTGTATAAAGGCCTTAACCCAGTCGATATCACAAATCTGCTTTAATTTGAACAGTGACCAATATTTAATATGCTTGTTCTGTGCAACATCAGAGGTTCATATAAATACATATTAGAATAATTAATGGAAAGTCGTAAAAAACTGAAGAAATTTTATATATGCCCAAAAAGCTGAAGATGATTCCTTAATAACTACTATGAAGTTACAATACAATTAATATCCCTCATGCATTGTATTTCAGTCACATCTCAAGGCAGATAACTTGATAAAAAAAAACAATAAATAGATGATCAGAGTATATCATTTATACTTAAATAACTTCTCAATGTTGCCAAATTACTTCAAAAATAAGTAGCCTGAATGTTGCCCATTCTTTTGTCTATTGTTATAAAAAACAGTCTGTCATACAGTGACAGAAGCCACGTAAGAAACTCTATTTGAGATGACTTAACAACTTCACAGTTTGAGGGGAGTGTATGATAATTTAGGCAAGCAGTTTGCATGATGTCAACCTGGAGGAGCTGCTTACATTTCATTAGTCTTATAGCCCCAGTGCAAAAAGAAGTGCCTGTGAATCAGACCTAGATATCATCATTTAGTTTAAGCATGACATAATTAGTGTGCATGGTTGTATAAATTTACCATCCACTTTATGAGAATTCCCTACCTTTATTTTTATTTTATTTTATTTTATCTTTGTTTAAACATGGTAGTCACATTGACCCTTATTCGTCAGCTGCTTATGGCCAAATCTTATAAAATGAGCGCACATAGATTTCACCCTATAGTTTTTGTGATTCATCAATTTCATCTTTGGTGCATCAGTACAATCAAACGCACATCTGGCAGGAGTGAGTAAATTTGAGCACAACAGTTGAACAACTTGAAAAAAAACTTAATTTGGGTAACCAACAGTATTATCAATATCATCTTTAATAACAATAATAATACAATATAACTAAGATTTAACAGCATTTAATTCTATTTTTAAAAAATAATCACACAATCAGATCATTCTACTCTTAAAAAGACATTTTATTTCACATTTTATTCTTTCCAGTCATTCTTTTACCACCTCCAACTCCACCTACAAGCACAGCCATTGCCTCTGAATGTTAACATTTTAATGGCTTCCGACCAAAACATCTGCATGAATTAGAGCGTGCTTTATGTAAATGATATGTAAATAAGGTACTGGCACTTGATTTCACACACTAAACCTGATTCATCATTTGCGCTCAAATCTCTGTTTGTCTCCTTGTCATACAAAAGTTTCATGAATCAGATGCAGAATAGTTTGTATGTCAGGCGGTCAAATCTGCACTCTTTTTGCGCAATGTTGATGAATAAGGGCCATTCAGATTAGAAATCTCTTTTGCAAGTGAGTCTTGGCCAAACAGGCAAATCACAACAACCAAGAAGACAATCAGCAGAGAAACAATTACAACGGGCACCACCACAAATAAGCTTAACTTATTCAAAAATAATTAAAAATCACCATAAATCATATGAATAATAACAAGAGCAAACATAATGATACAGATCTTTGACAATTATCTTAAAATCTGAGAGATAAATTGCTCCAGTTTCAAATGTTTCTGCAGATCATTCCACACTGACTGACCATATCCAGGCCATACCATCGGAACATCCAACTGAATAAAACTACTAGAATGTAAACTTGTTTGCTGAAAAGAATGCAGACAAATATGAAGGAAACTGACCAATAATTGCGTTGCAGACAAAAGTAATCCAATCTATTTGTCTTCACACCGAAAGTGGAAGCCATCCAGTCATTTCATAGTGTACCTTATACTTTGGAGTGGGGGAAGTGTGAGGGCTGAGTGTCCTCTTCTTAGGTCCAATCCCATTTCACCCCTTGCCCCTACCACTTAGCCCTTAGCCCTCTGTTTTTTCGCATTCACGTCTAGAGTTAGGGTGTCCCAATTTTTGTTGAGATGTAGGGGTAGGTCGAAGTGTTAGGGCTACATGGCCCTCCAAACGGAGGTTTTTCAGAGGCTCACTCCAAACAGAGTATTATGAGAAAAGAAAGAAAAACCGGCAAGATGGCTGCGCGAGCAACCAAAGAAACCCACAAATGTAAATATTTTCTTCGTTAAAAATCACGATAATCATTGTATCATCTTACTTTAATGGCGCTCCAATGTATTATGGTCGTCTCCATCGTAACAAGCATAAAAAATCGTTAAAGTATGCTAATGTCTTGCTAGCTAGCTAGCTAATTTTCCCGTTCCACCTTAAATAGTCCAGCGGTATTGACGCCTGAAGCGTTAGAATGTAACTGCTACACCATTTAAGGTGGAATGGGAAAATTCGAACAAGAACCTGGTGAATATCTGACTTCAGCTTCGTATCACCAAAGAAGAGGGTGACAAAGAGGTGGGTGATAATAAATAATTGTCTTGTACCCCCTCTTTTAAAGCATATGATGCCCTAAATGTAACTAAAGCCCAGCAGCGAGGTTGCTGAACTTTCCCCTTCTCTGCCATCACTGAAGTCGGGCCGGGTCGCCTACAGAGCACCGCTAGTAACCTGTTAATGAAGCTGTTTTTTTTTTTTTTAATTTGAGGTTTGTCCCATTTCATAGGGCAAGATTTCAACCACTACCCATTGTAACTCCGTTCCAAGGGGTTAGGGTGACACTCCAAAACAAGGGGTAGGAGTAAAAAGAAGAAAAGGGATTGGGCCTTAGACTCCTTCCAGCAGAGGGCTGTGGCATCACTGGAATATGAACTCATGATCTCCAGATGACTGAGTAGTTAGACAATTGTTCCACTCTGGAGCCACAAATAAAAGTATTAAAAATAGTTTTACAAATTGCATCATCAAACATTTGGATATGTTTTCATATTTTGAAATTTCACAGCTCCCAGCTGGCACAACTGTCTAACTGCCTGTTCTTCAGGTATTGATGAGTTCAAACCCCAGTGATGCCACAGCCCTCTGTGGAGTAGCTATTCAGTTCATGCACCATTTGTTAGCCATCCTCTAGTTTTCCTCCATGATCAGTTTTTGACCATAGGGGACTCTGTTTTCAACCTAGAAGTGACACTGATGTGTAAAAACTCCAGTAACACTGCCAACACCGCACACACTACCACACCACTGCCATGTCAGTGTCACTGCTGAGAATGACACACCACCCTAATAATATCTGATCACCGGTGTTCCTGTGGTCAGTCTGTAATTGCACACCAGTGGACCTAAAAGGCAGGTAGGACCATATGAAGTGGCCAGTGAGTGGACATACAAAGTAGATACAAGGTAAAGAGTAAAGTCAGGTGAGAGTGCTTTCTGCTGATTGTTATGTTACATCCAGGAATGACATCCAATCATCACTTTTTGCCTTTCACGTTCTAGTAAATGCAGTTATAGTTGAGCGGATGGACATTAACCAAAGTTTTGATTGATCTGTAATGCAGTGTAGTTACAGAGCTAAACAGCCATATTAATTCTAAAGAAACAGAGGAAGGAATAGCGGTGGTCTGTCAGGCCTTCATCTGCTGGCATGTACTCTGTTTAACCCACACAGAGGGTTAGAGTAAGCCTGATCACATGCTACAGCACCAGCTAAATGTACCCCTCCATACACATAGAACGTGGAAAGAACATGTGTGTGCTGATGTACAGTCATATGCGAAAGTTTGGGCACTCCTGGTCAAATCACATGTTTTGTTGGTTCTCTAAGTGAAAATAAGTTAACACATCGTTTACTGAGAACACACTACTGCACATTGTAATGCACAATGACTGTTTATTTGCTGAATTTAACATACTCTTTTCAAACCACTCTGGCTAAACATTTCGTGCTTCTGCCATACATTTCAATCCATCTCTCTCTCCCTCTCTCTCCCGCTCTCTTTCTCTCTCTTTCTCTTCCATCTCTCCCTTTCTGGTGCCAAGCTGGCAGACTGATCAAATGGAACTAACAGGGCTTGCTGGACAGGGGCGAGTGAGGGGGTGAGGCAGAGAGGGACGGGGCGGATTCTTTTGATGTCAGCAAAAATGGCTGCTTGCGTCCCACAGAACTGCACAAACACAGTCTGAGAGGACCCACAATGCATTGCTAAGACGACCCACGACTCCAATGAGTTCTAAACTTCCCTCAGTGAGGCATTTGAGTTTGACTGAATTGCTGACTATTAAAAACGGTTCCACAAACCCATTCATTCTGAAAAAAATTTACATAATGCTTTCTCATTGCGGGCGATACAGCAAAAATATAATATCACAATACTTCAGGAAGTTTTTCCAATAAACAACTTATTTACTCTTATTTGAGTCATTTCTGTTAATATTTTAACTTATATGTAAATTATCACTACAGTAGCAGTACTCTTACTTAAGTAGGGATTTTCATATATATATGTATATATATATATATATATATATATATAGTACTGTGAAGAATTGTTTGGAGAAAATTACAATGGATACAACTTTACAATAAATACAAATGAATAAATAAACAATCTGAACCATTTCCAAAACCCTCCTTGAGGAGGTCCAGTATTTACAGTTACAATCTGCTTTAGCTATTTAACTCTTCATTACATGAACTCAGGTGCTGCTGATGGCATTAACAAATCTATGCAATGACTGCACTGAGACATCAGGAACCAAACCTGTGTTCCTCTAGCTGAATCCTTCTAACCAGCAAATTAAGAACTTCGTTAAAAATAAAAAAATCTTGTTTTACTCCTTATGTTTTACTGTATTCATGTTTACTTGCTTGTTTTATTTATTCTAACGTTGTGTATTGTTTTGACTGGCAAAAACACACTTACTGCCAAGAGAATAGGTTTTAAACCATTTTCAGGACTACACACTTAAAAAACATGGTTCTTCAAGCATTCTTTAGTAAAGAAAATTGTTCTATATAGATATGCACCAAAAAAGGGTTCTTCTGCTGTTATGATGTCAAGCTTGTAACAATAGCAGAACCCTTTTTGGTGCTGTATAGAACTATTTTCAAAAAGGTTCTTTATAGAGCCATCTACAACACATTCTCTATCAATCTGAAGAACCATTTCATGAAGCAAACAACTCTGTAATTATGCAAAGGGTTCTTTGAGTGTTCATAGTTCTATATTTTCTTTAATTAAAGAATCTTTTTTAAGAGTGTATACATATATATATTTATCACACACACACACATATTTATACACGTATGTTTGTGTGTGTAAATATATATACATACATGTGTGTGTGTGTATATACAAATATTTATATATATATATATATATAAATGTATATATATATATAAATATATATATATATATATAAGTATGTATGTTTTTAACAATACAATATATTAATACTGCTATTTAAAGTTTCTTTCTTCAGTTCACAAAATGTGACCCAACATGTTGCAAAACTAATGCATTATGGGTAAATTATATTTTTTGTTTTTTATTAAGTTCCAGTCAACCACTTTGTGAACTGTAAAATGTAAGCAACTGAGGTACAGCTGTAATGGCGCAATTACTGAGATGTGGATCTCCCAGCATGGACTGTGAAGATTAGTGAAGAGGTTTTGTTACCTGCATATGTCCATTCTTTGACTGGAAAAAGAGAAAAGGAAAAGGTGTCAGCAATTTCAACATTTCACAGATGATAAGAAATGCTCTACCAGAGTTAAATCCAGTAGTTTTATTATTATATTGGTATTGCACTTATTATTAACCCGACAATGTTCTATAGAACACAAACATAACATAAACATAAAAAACAGCATCACTACCATCATCGTAACAACACTAATCCACATCCATCACAGTAATATTACAAAACAAGCTGGATTTGCCATTATTACATTGAGTAGTCAACTTTCTGACTGTAATGCTGATTGTTCTAATCGCGCGCTTACCGGCTCTTGTGCTCTCCACACACTGCCAGAGCAAGAGGAAAACAGCCGCTGCCAGCCAAGCCGGGTCCATGCTCTCTCATCCAAGTTCCCACACACACATAGACGTACACACACACACTTTCTGACTGGGACTGGGAGTGTTGTGGGAGATGAAGACAAAGAAAGAGACGCCTTGAGCTTGGGGCTGGATTATTCTGAAGATGCTCGTCGTGGGGCAGGTGGTCAGACGAAAGGAGCAAGCTGTCTGAGAGCGAGAGAGAGAAATGGAGGGAGTTGGGAGGGAAAGAATAGGCAAAGCTCTCAGTGTTGGCCCCTGAAAAATGTGTATGACACAACAGGGTGAGGGAGGGGGGAGTGTGGCAGAGAAAGCTTGGTTGAAGGGGTACTGAGGGGATAATAGAATGAAGAAGAATGGAGAGAGAGAGAGAGAGAGAAAGGGAGAGAGAGAGAGAGGGAGATAGAGACTCAAAATGATTTTTGGTCATAAACATTAGGAAAACATTTCAAATAAAAACTTAAATTCAACTTTACTCAGTCAGATACAAAATAAATCTTGCAGGAATTCCATACTGAAATTGGATGGAAAATTTACATGCAATTAAGTCCAGGGCCTAAATATGTTTTTGAGTGATGGAACAACAGAAAAGTACAAGCAAGCAGTGTCATGTTTTATTAAGCACTGAGTTTAGATTCTTTTTAGTTTGACATTGTTTGAAATCAGTCAGAGAAGAGGGAGAACTTTGCAGGCACAAAAATAATTGGCGATTATGTCAGCCCCATGTGTTCGAGCTTCTGTGAAAGAGGAACGGCCTGAGAGAAAAAGTTACTAAGAAGGATAATCGACAGTCCTTTAATCACTGTGATTGTACTGTATGTGTTTGTAACAGGACTTTCAATGTTTCAGACTCCTCAGCACAATGTCACGGTCATGTATTTTAGTATTTACAATTAACATCCAATACCTGCTTCAGCTAATCAGTCCTTCATTAAAGTAAACCAGGTGCTGCTGATGGAACTGAACACATCCATACAGTGACTGAAGTACAGTGAGAATCAGAAACCTGTGTTCTTCTAACTGTTCTTCTAACTTCTTCTAGCCAACATATTAATAACTTTTTAAACAGAACATCTCATGTTTCACTGTATTTATGATTATTAATTTGTTTGTATTCACTCTAATTTTATATATTGTATTCATGCTGTCAGAAAAAATCTCCATTTTTGTTGATTTTTATTTTTCTACACTGTTTGAACATGACAACTGTCATATACATTAAGTAAAAAACTAGAGTAAAGAATAATTAATATGCCCATATAAATGCTCCAAAATTACTTGAAATAAAATTTCTTCACATGATCTTACGTGAAGAGTTAAAACCATATTTATCTTGTACTGTAAAGTTTCCATTTTGGAGGGTTTTTTTTGGACAGCCACAATGTATTGTGTTCATAATGTTAGAGTATTAGTTCTCTAGCATTTATTAGCTGGGTTGTTCTGAGAAGGAGTTTTATTGTGAAGGCAGGGCTAGCTGGTGCTGTGTTCTGTTAGTTTAGGAAGTAATGAACCAGTCTATTGCTGATGGCTTAAAAAGCAAGACTTAGCGAGGCTCAGAGCGAATTTTTAGATAAAACTGTTTATGTATGCTGTGGTTGTGGCCAACTACGGCCTGTTAATAAAGCATAATGACTTGTGCATAAACTCGGGCTTCTTTAGATTAGATTAGATAATCCTTTATTAATCCCACAATGGGGAAATTTGCGGTGTTACAGCAGCACAGAAGACAGAGCAGCAGGAAATATACAAACAATATATAAAATAGAATAAACAATAAAAGTATAAAGATATATATGTATATGTACAAAGATTACAAGAAAAATATACAAAGTATTAAATTAAATTTAAAAATGTAGAAATGTATGTATTGTAGTGAATATTCCACAGTGAATAAAATAGCAAATAAATAAACAGTAAATAAATGGAGAAATATTGCACTTGACATAATTACACATAATGGTGGTAAACATGTTGACAATGATCCGCAGTGAATATACTACGCATGGTGGATTGAGATATTACACACAGTAAAGTGCTATGGCAGTGATGTTGAGAGTTCTTGCACATGGAAAGTAATTGTAAACTACTGTCTACTGAGTGCCGTGACTGTTATAGAGTCTGACAGCGGCTGGGAGGAAGGACCTGCAGTATCTCTCCTTCACGCACCGCGGGTGCCGCAGCCGGGCACTGAAGGAGCTGCTCAGTGCTGTCAGAGAGAGGTGCATGGGGTGGGACAGGTTCTTCAGCATGTTTGTTAGCTTAGTCCTCATTCTCCTGTCCCCCACCACCTCCACTGGGTCAAGAGGACATCCCAGGACAGAGCTGGACTTCCTGATGATCTTATTCAGTCACTTCCTGTCAGCAATGGAGATGCTGCTGCCCCAGCACACCACTCCATAAAAAATGGCTGATGCCACCACAGCGTCGAAGAAGGTCCTGAGAAGTGCCCCCTGCACGCCAAAGGTCGAGAGGCCGACGATAGCAGAGTCGTCAGAGAACTTTTGCAGGTGACAACTGGCAGAGCTGTACTTGAAGTCCGCAGTGTAGAGGGTGAAGAGAAAGGGAGCGAGGACAGTTCCCTGTGGAGCCCCCGTGCTGCAGACCACCGTGTCCGACTGACAGCCCTGGGTCCTCACATATTACGGTCGGTTAGCGAGGTAGTCCAGGATCCAGGTGGTGAGGTGATGGTCCAGGCCCGTGCACTCCAGCTTGTCCTTCAGCAGTGTGGGTTTGATGGTATTGAAAGCACTGGAGAAATCAAAAAACATGATTCTCACAGTGCTCCCAGCATTCTCCAGGTGAGAGAGAGAGCTGTGTAGGAGGTGGATGATGGCATCCTCCACTCCAATGCCAGGTTGGTAGGCAAACTGCAGTGGGTCCATTGAAGAGCTCACCAGGGGGCGCAGGTGGACAAGAAGCAGTCTCTCCAGGGTCTTCATCACGTGAGATGTCAGCGCCACCGGCCTATAGCTGTTGAGGTCTTTGGGGTGTGGGGTCTTTGGCACTGGCACCACGCAGGATGTTTTCCACAGCTGTGGGACTTTCCCTAACCTCAAGCTGAGGTTAAAGATGTACCCGACCACGTCACACAGCTCGTTCGCACAGGTCTTGAGAAGCCTTGAGCTGATGGCATCTGGACCTGCAGCCTTCCTGATCTTCATCCTCCTGAGCTCACTTCTCACCTGGGATGTTGTGAATGTGAGGCTGGAGTAAGGGAGAACAGTGCTGGGATGTATGTCAGCAGGAGAGCCGTCTGATGGTGGCTGTGTGTTGAGATGAAGGGGGGTGGGTGCAGGAGAGGGGGGAGGGCCAAATGCTGGTAGTGCCAGACAGGGAGAATTCAGCAGTGATGTGCCTGTGGTGGGGGGAGCAGGTGAGTGATCAAACCTATTAAAGAATAGATTGAGTTCATTCACCCACTTGTGGTCCCCCACAGCCCGGGAGTCGGGCTTCTTGTGTCCAGAAATAGTTTTGAGGCTATTCCAGACTCTACTGACATTATTCTGCTGCAGCTGGGCCTCCATCTTTCTCCTGTAGCTGGCTTTCCCCTCCCGGATCTTCCTTCTCAGCTCCCTCTGCACAGATCTCATCTCCTCCTTGTCACCTGATTTAAAAGCCCTCTTCTTCTCCTTCAGGAGGGCCTTTATATCAGGATTAATCCAGATTAATCCTGATATAATTAATCCAGGATTAATCCAGCAGTAAATGCAACAATATGCTAGTTTCTATTCATTCTGATGTTATATATGTATGTACACATACACATATAAGCTATTTATCTAAGCTCTAGGTGTTTATTTGTAGTAATGTATAGGCCCTAAATATGACTGCTTTCACACCATTTTGACAAATAAAATGGTCACAAAACCTCCAAAAGATTTAGGAAGATGAAAAAGTTGAAGAAGGACAATCAGACTTTGATAGGGCTGTAATGATAGACTGATAGACTAAAAGAATCGTAGCCATAGGTTGGGGATCTGCCCTCATCTTGAAAAGCAGGCAGGAAACTGAATCTGAATGCATTTGATTGCTGTATTTTCATGAATTTCAGAGCTGCAACAAGAACCTGATTTAGTTCTCAACTACCTGTCTGGGGATACTATGGAAGGCCGTAGAGTCACATATTTTATTTACTATATTTCCCTGTAATAATGTGTTAATTGTTTTTGTTTTCTTGAGATCTCAAGTTATTTGCAGTTTTGTCTATATAAGAGGACAAATTCTGTTCTCCCAAAACAATGCACAAATTAATTCTTCACAAATTTAGTGCGCACATGCACATTAAAGGAATAGCAAAAAAACCTAATTTACATGATTTTCCACTTACCCCAAATGCAGCCGATCAGCTGAGACATGTTTTGTGTCAAAGTTTCGCTTCTTTAGTTTTGAACAGGAGGTACGAGGCTAATGTTGCTTGCACATTGGAAGTAAATAGTCTCCCAAACCATTTCTACAAATACATAGCCAAAACCTTTCTCAACCCGCTCACACCGCATCCAGTTCTTAATTCAGGTTGTTATTTTAGGTCATAGACATTCATTATTTAAGCTTCCCTAGCTACAGATTACTTATGAGTCTAATGATACAGCTAGCCAGAGATGTGTAAGGTAATGTTACAAGTAAAAAAACTTTGGCTGCATACCAAGTTGACCTGGCTTTAGCACAAACATATTCCATTCAATACTAGATTCACCTCTGAGAGAATCCAGCCTATGCTCACAGAGCAGCACTGCTGAAGGGACACAGTGAAAATGAGTTAATTAACCAGTTCTAACCACATTTTAAAACAGTTTTTACTCTGAAAAAAGCAGAAAGTCATTTTTAATAAGGTTCTATAAATAAAATATTGTTAATTTCATTCATTGTATCATTTTTACTGCTGAACTATATGATATTGGTTATTGATATGGATATTGGTTAAAATCTTCAGTCACGTGATCCACATGGTGCACAATGTCTAATAAAATTAAAGTACTGTACAATATTGATATAGAAATGTATTAAAGTGCTTTTAACTGTGATTTCCTGATGTACAAAATAATGTACAATGTTTGCTGCCTCTTTAAGCAAAATGAACAAGACTAGTGTTGAGGTTCTGACCAGCGTTCACTCACTTGTTTGGCAGATTTTCACTGTAAAGCATTACACAGGTAGGCCATGCTTTATGCTTCCCCTTGACCACACC